CAACCGTGACGAATGTTTATGACGTATATTGTTTTTTCCGATAAGTGATACGTGTTGTGATGTATAAATACAATTAATGTATTTAGCGACGAGGCTACATTATTTTGACTATGCCACTATTTTTCACAAATCTTGTATATCTAACATGCATTTGTATCACAGTACGAATGCTGCCATCGTATACAGGTGTACAAATATCCTGCCAATAAATATATACCAGAAAATTGATTTGTGCTTATATTTAGATCTGAATGTATTGTGGTTTACCTGTTATCCGCTTTTTTTTAAATCTGTTCATGTATGTTCTCGTCATTTCGGATTGCTGATGTGGGGCGAGATGCGGTGCAAAACTAGCACATGTGGACAGAGTGGCAGTATGTGAGCCACATTCCATCGTCTGCAGCATACTCGCGCTCATATGAGGAATCATAATCACTCGCAATCAAATGTCACGAGAAGTGAATTCAGTGAGTATATCAAGATTTATTACTGATTACAAAGTATTTGTTTTGCGTTATGGATACGTAGCGTCTCCAAGGTGCCACTCTTTTGGTGATGGCAAATAAACAAGACTTACCGGGGGCGGTGGACGATGAGCAAATCAAAGAGGTATGGCACGGTACAGTGTATGCTATGAATATATATGATAGGAATATAATCCTTGACTGTCGTTAGCTGGTATTCACATAGCTCTCGAGCTCTGTTTGAGAATTGAGTATGCTGCACATCATCAATTTTCCTGGTAGGGCGTTGAAGTGTCGGGCGCCTTTTGTATGGGTACGTTGTTCCGCCCGTACGATTGATACTGAACTTATCAGACGTGTGCGCTGCCGTGTGTGGCGCATAATACTGGACGTTGGGATCAAATTTTGGTTCTTTGTTGAGAACCGCAAAATTGTTATGCAGCGTGTTGTGCTCCGCTTTGGCGCAAGTCTCCGACGAAACAATTGAGCGTACTCGTGTCTAACTTATTGGCACAATCATACAATGTATGTGGTAGAGTTTAAGCGATGAGAGTTGTTGGTGAAGGGGCTGTCTTTTCCTCACGTGTCTGCCGGTTTCGTACAATGTGTCGTAAAATTTTAAGCGATTAGGGTTGTTGGTGAAGGGGATGTCTTTTCCTTGCGTAACTGCCTGTTTCGTATGCACGTGCTCTGTTTCGCATCCTGTGGGTGCCAAGCTTGTCTCTTAGAAATGTTAAAAACTGGCAATTGAATTGTACTCCAACTTTTTACGTGCGAATTGTATTTAGAAATTGAAAATTAATTCTTCAATGTGCAAGTACTACTTACCATAATAACGGACCCTCATTCTGTATATATATGATAAACCCTGGGCAAAATATGTCATTGTTGATGTATGGGACCGAATCCATTGTCACCGCAAACTCACAGATCCTCCGATTGAAAGATATCAAGAGCCATCACTGGCACATTGAAGCGTGCAGCGCAGTTACAGGGGAAGCTCTGCAGGACGGCATGCAATGGATTGTGAGAGATATACAGTCTCGTGTGTATCTTCTTGATTGATTAGTGTTAGCGCTGATGTATTGAAGCTTACAACACAGACAATCAAGTCCACTGGATTGTGTCGCTACATATCATCTCGCGTGTTATATTCGACGGAAATGTAAATATGCATTGCACACATAACGTAATCCACAACTCCAATGCTCTCTTGAACTTCATCACTGCCACAACAGAGTGTGCAGCGCAGTCATAAGGGACGCTCGAAAAGACAGGATGCAGTGGGTCGGCAGATAAAAAGTCTCATCTGGATTTCTCGCCAAAAAAACAAAACTCGTGATTGTACGTTCCAAAGTGTGACAATTTATACATCGTCACAAGCCGAAGTGTGTTGTGCAGATTTAGACAATTGTGGGGCATTTTGCAGACTGTGCAGATTCGAGTGATTGTACAGCAAGGTGAAGATTGTGAATACAACCGGCCTTTTTGAAACAATAAAGGGTATTTGACTTTTATTATCACTCGCACTAGCGTCAGGAAGCTATGTACATATACATATACATACGCATATAAATATCCACATACATATAA